TATATATAAGACGATGCACACAGCCTTGCGAGACGACGCGACGAACGCGAAGCACCGCGACACATCTCTGCCCCTAGAAACACGATGACGCGAGCACTTCAACGTCGACGACGAAGACGAAGCAGGGAATTAGACGTCGCGAGAGATCTCGTGTAGCAGACGCTAGGGGTCGCCATGAGGTGAAACCCTAGCAGAGCGGAGCATATATACGATCATTGCACGACACGAATGGGTGCAGGGAGTTGGTGGTTAGTAGGGGAAGAGAAGTGGGGGATGGATTAGTAGATAATCACCACTTTGTTAGAGGGGTACAGCCAGAGCACCACCTTAACCGTCAGATACAACTCTCGATGGGAAAACAACATGGTGGCGGTTGTTTTCACAAATTGAAATTAGAAAATAAAATAAGTTGGACGTTAAAACTACAAATAACATATAAATAGAAGCAGGATTGGCGGGAAACAAAAATCGGGAGGGGGAAGTAATTCCTGCCCAATGGAAGAGAGAGGAGGGAGCCAGTCTAGACTCCTACTGGACCGAGCTTTTACCTGTTGAGCTGGCTGGGGGCTGTTTCAGCCCAACCTCGCTTCAATCTCCCGTGGTTGGGGGAGCTTTGATTTCATTCATCGAAGCTTCTGGCTTCTTGTAACACAACGTCAAGTCCTCTGACACGTCGATCAAGTAGACATTGTCGTTTCAAAACACATTCTGATAGAAGAGATGTCATCCTACCTTTAGTACAAATTGAGTTGAAGCTGTATAAAAATGAGTATTCCCCTGAATCAGGTATCGTGCCATCCCAATTGTAATATGTTTTTTCCACCCATACTCAGCTGAGTGTAGCAGATAAACTAGTATATGGGGAAAGATCAGCTCGGGGTTGAAATTTGTGATAAATTGCACCACTCTAGCTAGCACCCACTCTGGAGTGACCCCTTCTTCACTGATACGACCTAGTCCCATTGTAGTATTTTTGCCCTCATCAAGCTCATCAGGCCCATTCCAAGGCTGGGTTCATCACTCTTGGATAGACATTTGACAATATGTCCCATGCTAAACTGAAAATAACCTCCGAATAATTCCACACAATATTATCGATATGACACAAAATAAACCCACTTCTGACATGTTGGACCTCCTTCTATAGGGATGCCTCAGGAAAGAGTCTATACATCTGAAAAATCTGCATTTCTCATTTGTTGTGGTCTTGTATCTAATGTTGGATCCTCAAACTCACGACCCTTTTGAACATCCAAGGTTTGTTCTGTAGATATTCCTCTCAACGAAGCAAAATGGTAGCTCGAGGCACCACCACTTCACACTTTGCATGAATGCACATTACATTAAGGTCACTGCCCTAGAGAGTAGCTACCATTACTTCGATGGAATCCCTATCTTGGATTCAACTGGAATTGTTGGCTTCTCTTCCTCGTTGGCTGAAAATCGAGAATCCTTTATGAAGTCTGCCTGTTTTTCCTCATCAACTGTGTCATTGCCCAATTTTTCAATAACACCCTGCTCAATGAAACATATCACTCCTCTAGCGGTGCATTGTGATTCAACATGTTTAAATCCGTGGCACTTGTCACACTCCATGACTGTGACGTATTTAGGGATGCGAATTGGTTTCACTTGTTCACCAGTCTGAATCAGCTTGTCCTCTGATGGGGTTGAATTGGGTGTTCTCTTGGGTGTAATCTGACTATTAGATTCTGAGGTTGAACTTTGTTTTTAAGATGTGATGGTTGCTCGGTGTTGTGATCTCTCCACTTCTAAAGCTAGAGTCTGCACCTTCTGTCTGTAGTAAGCTGGTGGGAATTGGTGCTTTGTCTCGTGCTTCATCGCAAGTCTCTGCTGAAGTTGGCGGATCTCTCATTGTATCTTCTGCTGAGTAGGCTTGGGCATGTATATCTTCAGTGAAATGGCTAGGTTTTAGGGTTGGGAAGGTGAAATAGGGTAAAAATAATTGGTTTAAGGTTGTTGATTTTGAAAATCAGCAAGAGGAATTAAGGTTAGAGATATGTGATAATGGAAAGAGTATTTGTCAGTCGGAAAGAAAATTTTCATTTGTCGGTAAGAAAATTTTCATTTAATTATAATAAATTAAGATCATTTTTTATACAGCATGCCCATGCCTTTCCTAATATAAGTCGAATCTAAAACATCCACTCTCCTAATCAGATAATCAAATGGTCGGCGTTTAATGTGACCAAATTATCTAAGACGACTCTCTCAAATTTTGTCAGCCACTGGAGCTACACCAACCCTATCACAGATATATTCATTTCGCATTTTGTCTTTTAAGTGTACGACCACTCATCCACCTAAACATTCTCATCTCGACAACACTTAACTTAGTTTTATGCTTTTCTTTTAAAGACCAAGATTCAGCTCCATAGATCATTGCAGGTCTTAACACCATCTTATAAAATTTTTCTTTTAGTCTAAGCGGTACTTTTCTATTACACAATATGCCCGAAACATTCCTCCACTTCAACCAACCAACTTGAATTCTACTAATAACATCTTCATCTATATCACCATCCCTTTGAACAATAGGCTCGAGATATCTAAAGCATTCACACTTTTAATAATTTAATCACCCATAGATACTACACTATCAAAAGAGCTACTACTACTACTAAAATTACATTCCATATATTCAGTTTTAGTTCTACTCAAACGATGGCCTTTAGACTCCAATGTAAATCTCCATAATTCAAGTTTTTCCTGCTTTTTCTCTAGTTCTATCCACGAGAAGGTTGTCATCAATCATGAGCATACACCAAGGTACATCCTCCTGTAAATGTCTAGCATGAGCATTCATAACTAAAACAAAAAGACATGGGCTTAAAACCGATCTCTAATGTAAACTAACTGAAATAGGAAAATTTTTTGTCATCCTTTAGTTTGAACACAAGTAACAACTCTATTATACATATCTTTAATGACTTGAATATAAGTCATATCAATAATTTTCTTTTCTAAAACTCTCTGAAGGATATCTCTTGGAACTTTATCGTAAGCTTTTTTTAAATCAGTAAAGATCATATGTCGATCCTTCTTATTCTCTCTGAACTTCTCCATCAAACCTCTTAATAAATGTATAGCTTCCATAGTAGACATGCTCGACACAAATCCAAATTGATTATGAGAAATCATTGTAATACATATTAACCTATGTTCAATTACCCTCTCCCATGATTTTAAAGTATGAGACATCAATTTAATTCCTTTATAATTTGCACACTCTTGTGCATCCACTTATTGTTAAAATGGGGACCAAAATACTGTTCCTCCACTCCTCAGACATCTTTTTAGTTTTTAAAATAACATTAAAGAGTTTAGTAAGCCAAGAAACTCCCAAATCTCTTATCTATTTCCACACTTCAATTCGGATATCATCAGGCCCTACCGATTTTTGACTCGATTTTTGACTCTTGCTTTTCTTTAAAGCCTCAACTTCTTTTTTACTAATGTGATAGTAAAAATGAAATATTATTTTATTATTAACAATATTAAGATCACTAATGTCAAACGTCATTTCAGAAATTTCATTAAATAGTTTTTTAAAATAACTCACCCACCTATGTTGAATTTCTTTTTCTAAGAAAAACGCTTTTTGATTTTCATTTTTAATACACTTTACTTGAGTTAAATTCATACTTTTCTTTTCTCTTTGTTTGGCTAGTTTATACATATATTTTTCACACTCTTTAGTATCTAATCTATTATAAATGTCACTAAAAGAAGAATTTTGAGTGTCACTGATTGCTCTCTTAGACTCCCTACGAGTAATTTTATATTTTTCTCGGTTCTCTAAGCTTCTACATTTATACCAATTTTTATAACATAGTTTCTTATATTTTAACCTTTCTTGCACATTATTATTCCATCACTAACTATTTTTTTATAAAACTTTTTCTTTTGATTCTCCAAGTACATTTTTTGCAACATCTTTTGCAACTTGTTTAATAATTTTTGTTACTTTATCCCACATAAAATTTGCTTCTTCATGAATATCTCAAATCATAAAATCTTGAAGTTTACTCATAAAAATAATTTTATTTGTAGTTTAGGTGCTTCCATCTAATTCTACGACAATGATTCACAGTATTCTTTATTTTACAATACTTCATTTTAAAATCTAGAACTAATAATCGATGTAGAGTATTTAAATACTCGACAGGAATGACCTTACAATCTTTACATTCTTGGCGATCTTTTCTTCTCATAAGAAATAATCAATTTATGTTTTTTTAGATCCTTTTTTATAAGTAATAATATGCTCATCTCTCTTCTTGAATAAAGTATTAATAATAACAAAATCATACGTACCTTTTTCATTAATCACTCTAAAATCGTACCCACCATCATGAATATTTCTAAAATTTTCTTTCACTCTACCGACATGTTCATTTAAATTTCCGCCAATAAAAATTCTTTTTTCAAGAGGTATCATTTGTATTAAGTCGTTTAGGTCTTTATAGAATTTTTCTTTAGAATCTTTATCTAAACCCTTTATAAACACTTCTGCTTTTAAAAATCTTAGTATCAATAATAA